CACCAAATCAGGCCGGGGTCAGATTTGGCAGGGGCCTGATTTGGCCAGAGCCGAGGCCAAACTTTGGTGCATCCTTAATATATATATATAATAAATCACTAAACACTATGATCAGGTTAACAATAAATTCAATAACAATAACAACAACAATAACAACAATGATAGAATTTACAATAACATCAACGGCATCTGTAATAACCCTGAAAATAATAGCAACGAAAATAACAATGTCGACACCCATAACAACAACACTGATAATGACAATAATAACAACAAAAAGAAGGATATTATACTGTACTACCGTAATTTCATGTCTTCCTCTTATAAAATCGATGAATTGATAATGAAGAATATAATAAAAAATAAAATAATTCCTACAGATCCTAATGATAAAATCAAACTAAGGATTTTTTATAAAAACACTAAAACATCAAACCTCATCTTAATAAATAATTGCACACCACGTGTTGAATCACAACTGAAACGTAGTCATGTCATATATAAATTTTCCTGTCCAGTTGACGATTGTATGCGTCTAAAATCATTATATATCGGCATGACTACCACGGATTTATCACGGAGATTGACGATGCATAAGAGAGAAGGTGCCATTAAAACCCATCTCCTTGACAAACACAACACAACAATCACCAGAGGTATACTAAATGACAACACAACCATCATCTATAGTACCCAACAATATCAAAATCTTGCCATTCTAATAGAAATGCAAAAACCTACATTGAACAACCAACAACAAATTAAAACAACTCTCCCTACGCATAGATTAATTAACAACGTCAACATTGTTGCCAATAATTTTAACGTCATCGATAATAATAATAATAATCATAATAATAATAATACTTTTAATAACAATGATGACGACGATAACAATAATACAAACAACGATAGCAACAACAACAGCAACAATAAAAAGAACAACAACTACAACAACAATAATAATAATGGTAATGATGATGATGATGATGATAATAATAATAATAATAATGATAACGATAATAACAATAATAATAATAATGATAATAATAAAAATAATAATAATAATTAATAATATTAATAATAATAATAATAATAGAAACGTTATTCTAATTAATTTCGCGCTTCAAATTTGTGACATTGTTGGTTGCCATCTTGACAACGGCCACGTAGCATGAACAATCGTATAATTTCAAATATTTTGTTTACTAATTTCAATGAACCTTTGCGTTTTTATTTCGTTACTTTTATTTTATTTTAATATATTAAAAAATACAACTAATTAACTATTAATAGAATTTATTTAAAATATATTGCACTGATGATGACTTTACGTCGAAATAGATCTATATGCATAATTTTAATAATAATATAAAAAATAAACGATTATAAAAATGGGATCTTGCTTGATTAATTTTAACAATTAAAATCATAAACGATTATAAAATGGATTTCAACATTTTGAATAGACTTAATTGTAAAGAACTAGTTCAAAATATTAGAAAATCAACCATAAAACTTGTTAATGCTGAATCGTCGGTGGATTTTTTGAACAACTGTATATATATATATATATATATATATATATATATATATATATATATATATATATATCTAGGCATCAACTGTCATTTTTATAAAAAAAAACCTAATAAAATAGATAAGATAATCGAAATAGAAAAATTAATGAACGATATTATTGAATATGAAAAGAAAAATTTAATTACCGTCAATCCTTCGATTGGTATTCAGTTACAAGCTGAATCCAAAAAACAAAGAGACAATTTTAATAGCAAATTAATTACACAAGAAATAAGAAACAGTTGAAACAAAACCAAAATATTGTTATCCGTCATGTTGATAAAGCGTCAATGTATGTCATTCTAAATAAAGATGATTATTTTGGAAAATTGAGCACAATATTAAACGACACCACTAAATTTAAAATAATAAAAACTGATCCTACACCATCACTAAAAGTCAAACTCATCAAAATCATCCACCGAATCAACAGACATTGTCCTAGTGATAAAATTCCTTCTCTTTTTGGCGAATTCCAACCTGGTTACATTTATGGTAATGTGAAAACTCATAAAACTGACAATCCATTGAGACCCATCATTAGCCAGATTCCTACCGTAACATATCAATAGCCAAATTATTATGTAAACTCTTGACTCCTTATGTTCCCAACGATTACAACTTGAAATCTTCACGCGAATTCATCGAAATTTAAAATACTAATTCATCAGCCAAATACGTTGCATCACTTGATGTGGAATCCTTATTTACAAACGTACCGGTGAAAGACACAATTGACATCATTTTCAATACGGTTTACAATTCAAATATGTCCCCCATCAAAATTCCCAAATCTCATCTCAAATCGCTTTTGGAAATTTGTACAACCGAGGCACCCTTCATTAGTCCAACAGGAAAAATGTATAAACAAATTGTTGGTATAGCCATGGGTTCGCCACTAGGAGTACTTTTCGTTAATTTTTATTTAGGACATTTAGAAAACAAGACGTTTGAACAACATCCACATTTAAAACCATACATTTACACTCGATATGTTGATGATATTTTTGTCGCATTTGATGAACAAGACATGATCAATTTACTCGTTACCACGTTTTATCATTAAAAGTTAAATTCACAATTGAATTAGAAAAAGAAAAATCATTACCGTTTCTGGATGTGCTCGTTAAACATGATAAACGTAGTTTCAGCATCTCAGTTTATGTGAAAGAAACCAACAAAGGAATTTGTCTTAATGGACAAAGTGAATGTACGAAAGAATATAAACTGAATACTATCAAAGCCTTCGTCAGCCGAGCAATAATACACTCAACTACTCAAAATGACATCAATACAGAATTGAATCGCATTAAAAAATTACTTGTTAATAATGGTTATCAAATATCAGATATTAACAATGTAATTAAATTTAAATTAAGAAATATCAGTAACAACAATAATAATAACTTCAACAGAGTTACCAGAAGCAATATTATCACCAACAACAATAATCTTTCTATTGATAATGATAACTCCATTGCCAACTTTATTAACATCATTAATAACAACAACAATAACAGTAATCTTAATATTGATAACGATAACAACAACAATAATTTCAACAATAATCACAATAATCACTATAAAAATATTATTCATAATACTAATAATTATAACGAAAGCATTGTCAACAACAACAACGATGAAGTCAATAATAACAACAATAATCCAGATCACAACATCATAGTCTCACAATGTGATACTATGATGGTATCACAATCATGATGGTATCACATGATGGTATCACATCATAGTATCACAACATCATAGTCAACAACTTTAGTAACAAAACAACACCTACTACAATAACGCCAATAATAATAACAATACTACCAACAGCATCCACAACAACAATAATAATAATGATAAAGATATTATTCTATATTACCGCAACATCATGTCCACTTCATATAAAACAGATGAAAACATTTTAAGAAAACTAATTTACAACAATATCAAACCCGTCAATCCCAATTGCAAAATTAAGTTAAGAATATATTATAAAAACGCCAAAACATCACACATGATAATCAAAAATAACTGTCAACCCAACAACAATTCCATTATGAAAAATAGTCATCTTATATATGAATTTTCCTGTCTTATTGGTAACTGTGTGCACCAAACTTCTTCATATATAAGAATTAGAATGACCACCACTCAACTTTCTCGTCGACTTACCATGCACAAAAGAGAAGGTGCGATCAAATCTCATATAAAAACAACACATAATACAACATTAATACGTTCAATTCTCGACAATAACACAAATGTTCTTTACAAAAACTCCGATTCTTTCACCATAAAGATAGCCGAAGCCATATTAATAGAAATAAAAATTCGAAAATTAAATGTTCAGTTACAAAGTATAACAGTACTTCCGACTCACAAACAGTTATCTAAACTAATTAATAATCCTCTCACTACCAATAACAACAATAACAACCACGTTACCACCACCAACAACCATGTTACTACAAACAACAATGTTAATCATGTTAGAGATGCCAACGACCATGACAACAACACCAACAATAATGTTAATAATTGCAGCAACAACAGCAACATCATCATTGTCGACAACAGCAACAACAAAAACAACAATAACAACAGCAACAACAACAACAATAATAATAATAATGATATTTACAATGACAATGATAATAATATAAACTTGGAAACATGAATATTATAGTATGATGATATGGCTGATTTTTGCTTTTTATTTTGTTGATTTACTTTATGATAATTTTTTCAGCAATTTTTAAATTTAAATCTATTTTGTTTAATTCTAATAATTAAACCTAAATAATTTAAAGTTAATTTTATCAATATGTTAAATATATGGTATATAATAATTAATAATAACATTTTCAAAAATGTTTCGCGCTTAAAATTAAGTTATACTCTATGACGTCATTTGTTTATAAACGGTAATTTTCGTTTCTATTTAAAAATATTTTGCACCGACGATGATATATTTTATATCGAAAAAGCTTTTTGCAATTATTTATATTAATAAACATGAACAATAATAATTTTAGTTTTTTAATAAAATTTTAATTAGAAAACATAATAATTATATTAACGCGGTTGATTTTCTTGAAAACTGTATATATATATATATATATATTATATATATATTTAGGAACGAGGTTTTCATTAATACATATTTTGTTAAATTTATTTGCCCATTTTGCATTTATCAACTTTTTTATTATGGAAATATATATATATATATATATATATATATATATATATATATATATCAATGTGTGTTAAGCCGTAGCCTAACGTAAGTACAAGCCTGAGTGCTCATTATGCAAATTTCATTTAGGAGGCGAACGCATTTTGTTTACATATATGTAGTAACGTAAATAAACAAGCCTTGTAAAGTGTTTAAAAATTTTATTAAACATCTAATCATGAAACGTTAACATTTTTCTGACATTTTTATGTTTAGTGTTTGTATCATTTTTCATTTTACAAAAATTATTTAACAAACAATTAGTAGCACTATACAAAATTCTATTACATATATCAATTGCAGCATGACCATTATCACAGTCTGGCCAATAACTAAATTCATGATCATCTAAAATTGAATTTGTTATTTTGATAGCCATCATTCTCTGTCTTTGTTCCTCTTTAAATATATTCCAAAAGTATCCACTTGTTAATTTCTTTACTACACAATAATTATAGGTTACTAAATCAATAATAGCTTCAGATGGATATTTCAAACCACCCCTGTCCACATTAGCAATGACAGAAAATGAAGGGTCCACATCTTCCATTGATCTATCCAATGACATCAAGTCTTTACATAATGGACACCAATTAAGCTTTTTCAGAGCTATATGTAGACAATATCCAGCAACGTATACAATAATTGGTTTTTCATCTTCCAAGTCAAAATCATTTTCATCAAGCTGTAAATTTTCATATTTTGATGGATCCAGGAAATTATCATTGACATCTTCACTGAATTCATCTTTAATAGTCTTTAGACAGCCAATTAATTTATTTTTCAAAACACTGGAGATTCTTAATTTTTTTTTCTGACTCAAAGATTTGTCTAAGTGATACATTATAATTAGTTCCAGACAATTGTCTGTATAGACCAAACCTAGACTCTAAAGCATCCGTTTGGAATTTCCCCAACAAAACATATTTTAAATTAAATTCGGTACAACAGTATTTACTTGCCTCTATTAGAGCAGTAGTGGTGTGACGTTATTGATTATAAAAAAATTGAAAAAAAACTTCATTATCTTTGTCATTATCTTTTACAATTTTTAACAATTCTTTTAGGTTTGACAAATTATCCTTTTTATTGTTGAAAAGACCATCTCTCTCTTTTTTTTCAACTTCATCCAAAATAGTCGTTATATCAAACATATAATTGACATTTATCGGAGACTCAATATCATTAATAAATTGTAAGCGAACACTTTTAAAAACAATTTCAGTTCTAATTCCTTGTTTACCACGAGTAGATAAACTATTTCTGTTGGTACATCATGTGATAAATTAAAAAATAAGATATCATTGTCTTGACATACGACATTCCAAAATTTAGAAAGTTTAAGTTCCTTTACTTTGTCGCACAATTCAGAAAAACTATTTATTTTGTTTTTTGTTAAATATTGACTGTGCTCCATCAGGCTTTTTGTAATTGCATTGTCAATATTCAAACTTTCCATTCGCTGCCTCTTTTTATCCGGCAATACCCTGAGAGTTACTGATGTGCTGTAGTAGTCTGGGCATCCAGGAAATATTGAAGGAACTGAATCTTTTTTTAATCTTGGCCTCTCGAGAGAAGTCAAAATCATCTTTCCAGATTTAGCATCAAATGAAGATTTTTTAGTAATGATGGCCTCAGCTGGAGAGTGCTTTTCACATACCTTAGAAAAAAAAATATAATTATTATTTGTAATTAAATTATTAATAAAATTAATAAATTTCAATAAACATGCTACTCACTCACATTACAACTAATAATAATAAAACAAATAACATAGCTATGTAATGTATTATAATTTTGTAACAATGTAAGGAATTTAGTTAAAATCTGAAATCCTGGTCATGCACTTTATTCAATAGATCATGCTTACTCGTGAATGCAAGTAGGTTTCCAATCTTTTCTCGGAATTGCAGATATCCATTTTTGAAACATGTGTTCATCTTTAGGAAAACGAAAGGAATGTACTTTTTGTTCAATTGTATAATTCCCTTGGCAAAACGGAACAATACATTTATTCACCATTATTACAAAATATTATTCCTTCCGAAATTTTTCGATAATTAAATCCGAATAACAAGTAACCAATTACGAAGAAACGAATAAAACGTGCAACGCCGATCAAGTAAACAAGAAAATGAAATAAATCGTTCGCCTCCTATTTGATCAAAACATTAAAATAGGGATGTGAGCGCTCAGGCTTGTTATTTACGTTAGGCTACGGTTAAGCGCAGTGTGTTAAGTGCATTTTTAGTGTTTATATAACTAGTCAATTTGTATTTATAAGAAAAATTTGATTACATTTTGCTCATATGAATGCGTGGACACTATACATACTATACTTTAACAATTTCAAAATATGTCGATGTACTTCACTCATGTCTCGAAAATTCAGGTATTGGACTTTAAACAATTTGTTAATGTACAAAAAACGAAATAAAACTCGAAAAGCTTTAGTCTGTTCAATATTTTTCATTACATGTAGAAAAATATATAATAAAGTTGTTTCATTTAAAAGGGTATTACAGTCCCACAGATAACTCGGTTTCTGCTTTGACTACCGGCTAAATTACATTTCGACAAATTTTTATTCAATCGCTAGGTGAATAAATTTTTTGGTAAGATACCTATTTTCTTTTTAAATTGTTTTGCATATTTTAAATGACGCTAAAATAATTTCTAAAATTATATTTCAAATATGCTATATTATTTTATTATGTAACCTATATATAGTTAACAATCAAACGCTTTTTTATCTATGCTATTCAAAATTATAGTTTTGCATTATTATTGGCCCCGGTTACACATGATATTATCGGTCGCTACTGCTACTTCTACTCTACTGACTGAGCTAACTCGGTGACCGATTCGCAGACCTTTGACAACAGAATATGTGCTGTTGTTAAGGGGTTAATAGCATATTACGTACATGTTCCATTAAGCTATCGAAATCCACCTTTGACAAACTGCCCCCTGAATTATAGAAATTATGTTAATGTTATTATAAAACCACTGAACTTTATATAATAAGAAAAAATATAATAGACTACAAGATTTTTCGCCGGAAATTTTGAATTGTAAACAAATATTGCCGTGTGGAATTTTCTATCGGTGGTCGCGATTTTGATTGGAAAATGTTAATTTAGTCTGTGTCGGCGAATGAAATTCCTTATTATCGTTACATATGCCATGTAATATTGTTCCGTAATAATTTTAGAATCTTTGACTAAATAAGCTGTTCAATCGTTGGTTGAAATTATTTTTGTAATATACGTTTTTAAATAATATTATATATTTTTTGTTTATTCATGCATTCTAATTAATTTTAAAATATTTTCAGAAGTTATATTTAATGAACATGATTTATCAATTTGTAGTAAAAAACGCGTTCGTTATTTTGTACAAAGTATATTTTTAATTATATTAATTTAATTAATAACAAGAGTTAATCTATGCTAATCAAAATTATTGCTCTAAATTGTTACGGACGCTTTTGTGCATATTACCATCTGCTGTTAAAAGTAATGTAACGTTGATTTCATGTAAACGTACATATACGGTCTGAGTCAAATTAAATAAGTAATTTTTTTAAACAAGTTTATTTCGTGAAAGAAGGTAAAAACAAAACATGAAAAAGGATTCCAAAAGAAAATAAAATTCTAAATATGGAACCCTTAATTAGTTGAGTTGAATATCGGTTCAGTTATAAAAATCGTTGATTTTTGTTATGGTTTGTTACGTGACTGGCTTTTTGACCCATATAGTCCGGTCATTTTCGTGTAAACAGTGAATTAATAAATATATATAACTAAACAAAGTAAATTATTTAATAATCCGTTACAAGTTTTTAATTTTCTTAGTTACTATGGTGTTGATAGTCAAAATGTGTTTTCAGGAGCCAGAAAATTTTCAATCAGGAGTCGTTGTCGGACATATTTTTATTTATATAATTTTAAGCTATAAAAACCAAATAATATTTCCAATCCTGGCATTCAAACTTGGAATTGCCCATTGTCCATTATACGTTTCGCTGGAAATATGGGAACCATCGGCGTCACGCTTTCACTATAGTTGACGAAGGGAGAATCCAGTGGGTGATTTTTTACAGCATAAAAACAGTGTACTGATATAATTGTTTCTAGGCCAACGTTAAAATCAAACGCTTTATTTTTATTTAACTTCCTACATGTAATTCAATGTTTAAATTTTTTTATCTTACCTTAAATTCGACGGTTCGGCTACATTCAAATTAAAAATTACATTTATAGTCTTTGGTAGAAAATCATTGAAATCATCAACATTAAAACCAAATGAAGAGAATTAAAAATATTATTCAAATAAGATAGTAAAAACACAAAACAAGCAATATAAAAATGCGGAGTTCCAATATATTGTTCATTACGCTAGAAGATACTTCATAAACAGCTTCTGAAACATAATGAGGTGTTAATAGATATTGAGTTGTTACAGACGATTATACTAAATAAAACTTTTTTGAATAATTATCAAAAATATAAAAAATAATGTTCTGATTTGGTATTCTTCCTAACAAAACTAGCAGCTAGTCATTAACTGTAATCCAATTGTTTAAATAATTGAAATTAAATGAATGATGAAAACCTTTCGATACTATCATCTTTAATCCGACTGGTTGATTTAAATTTTTTTTGCTAACAACCATTAACGGCTGACCAGTTAATTTTAGAACATGAAACGGCCCCCCCACTAAAATTTCATCGTTATCTTCATTATAATTTTTGTAGCTTCTTTCAACAATGTGACGAATAACTCTTTTATGTCTTGCCGCGAATGGTCTTGCACTCGTGAATTTTTCAGTTCGATGGTCATTACAAAATCTGATAGTTACAAAATATGGGATTGAATTATTTAAATAAGTTAACAGCATTTCAACAAGTCACCTGTTGCATGGTGTCTTACTACGTATATTGCATAAGTGCGATTGACACAAAACAAACAAATGATCGGAATTCTCAAACGCTGGCATTTTGAAACTGAACCCCCACCTAGTTCTATTTGAGTTAATGAACTGCAGAGATAAATGTTTAGAATTAGGGCATCTGCAAAACGAAATTTATTTTTGATTTGAATTTATTTATCAGATTTTATATAAAAAATATTTATTTATTAAAAATATAATAATTTAAAAATACGTAGATGCATAGGTTATATATATATATATATATATATATATATATATATATATATATATATATATATATCCTTGTTAATCAAGTGTCAGCAGTGTAACCACTGGTGTCACAAACGTTGTTCAAAAATAATTGTCTAAAGTGTCCAATTTTGTTTGTCCTGCTTGAATCAATCCACAACAACAAATTCGAAACAGTACTAGGAGATGTTCTGGAGATGTTCTGGATTGTACTGGAACAGCTGAAGCTACCGTTCGAGCACGCATACGTGCAGCCTGAAATAAATGCTTCTCCTTGCCTCTATATTGATGCGGCGTGACATCCCACTACCACTACGATCAAGACTTTATAAATCTGTGATACGTCCGGTGTTGTTATATGGTGCAGTTTGTTGTTATATGGTGGGTTTAATGACAACCAAACTGGAACAACAACTTCACCGAACCGACATGAAAATGCTCCGATGGATGCAACGAATTAGTCTGAAGGACCACATCAAATCCACCGAAATCCTGAGTCGTGCTGGTTTAGATGATATAAAGGACGAATGCCGGCAACACTGTCTGCGGTGATTTGGTGTCAAACAAAGTGGAAACAGTGCCATATCTTTTCTTGCAGATGTTGAAGTACCTGGCACACGTCCCAAAGGTCGTCCAAAGAAGTCCTGGTCCCAAACAATCGAGCAAGACATGAAAGCTCTAAATTTAAATGAAATGGATACAACTGATCGTCTAAATTGGCGCAAAAAGTTGATAGCAAAGAAAACAACGTCCTGCCTCGGGGGAAACGGGTTTCTGGACGCAAAACGAAGATTTATTGATTGATTAATATATCCTTGTCGCGTACAACAACCCTGACCAAATTAGAAATCTTCTCTCCACTACTAATAAATCCACTATAAATCTAAAATATAATTTAAAAACAATAAAACCTCATCATTTTTGGATACGCTAATCACACGAGATGAAAACTGTTTCAAAACAATGGTCTATGTGGAAGAAACAAACAAAGGGTTATGTCTAAACGGAATAAGTAAGTGTACGGAAAAATACAAACAGCAAAATAAAAGCATTTGTAAAAAGAGCATTCACACACTTCACTTCAATAAGCAACCGCGAGACAGAACTAATTAGAATCACCAAAGCTCTTGTCAACAACAACTACAAAACAGATACCATCCATGATACCATCAACCGTAAACTACAACATCTCAATAACAACAACAACAAACAAAACGAGAATATAATTTTCTACTACAAAAATTACATGCCATCGACATTTAAAACAGACGAATTTGTTCTAAAGAAAATTGTTTTCAAAAACGTGATGCCTAAAAATACAGACGATAAAGTAAATCTTAGAATTTATTATCAGAATAAAAGAGCGGCAAACCTGATAATAAAGAATAATTGCACGCCTCCCCAAAATTCAACCCTGGAAAGAAATCAACTAGTGTATAAGTTTAAATGCCCACTTGACAAATGCACTTGTCAGTCACACTCATATATTGGAGTGACAACTACATCCCTATCACGTCGCTTTACTATGCACAAAAGAGAAGGAGCCATTAGAACAAACCTGGAAACGATACATTGAACACACCTCGAAACGATACATCAAACGATCCCATCACGAGAAATATTAATAAACAATACTAGTATAATGAACCACAGCCATCTAAGAATTGCTTAGATCTTCATTGATAGCCGCAAATCAACAAGCAACAAAGAATAGTAACATCATTACCGACCAGAAG